CTTAAAAGGACATACAAGGTAGGTGCAGGCAAGGTGTTTCCCCGATTGGGATTTTAGAACAGGGCAGGACATTTAGTTCCGAGAATGAGGAGAAATTTTACTCAGAGGGATGCGAACCTTTGGAATTCAGTATCACAGAGGGCTTTGGAAGCTCAAGGTTTGAGTCTGTTAAGGTAGAGATTGATTGATTTCTGATTCCCTGTGAGGAACAGGGGGAAGGGGGAAGGGGGAAGAAGCACTGAAGTGTTTGATTAGCCATGAACATATTGAATTGTGGGGAAGCCTTGACAAATTGAATGGTCTACTGCAATTCCATAACTATCCATAACGATTTGAAATGGTCATGGTTACTATCTCCAAAATGCTTCTGTATGGATACACCTACCTGGGGTCATTTCCAAATATTAGGTCCAGAACTGCCAACTCCCATTCAATGAATTATTCAAAATGTCAAAACATTCCGCTGGTTGCAGTTCCAGGGTTTTGCTCCATTCCTACCCTGCACACTGACATTGTCCCACTTATTGTTTGGGTCATCAAAATCTCCTATTCCTTCCGAAGTTTGGTTGTATATTTGATTCTCTCTCTCTCTCCCCCACTATCTGTGTGGGGGCTTGTAGCACACATCTCACAGTGTGTTTGCTCCTTTTGTGTTTTCAACTTCTATCTGTAAGGCCTCATTTGATGATTCTTCCAAAATCTCATCCCTCCTTGCTGCCATCATTGATTCGTCAACTAGCACCGTCCATCTACCACCACATCCCTTTTCTTATCTTGTCTATAATATCCTCAGAATGCTGAGCTGCACATCCTTCCCATCTTTCAACCAACTCTCATTCACATGATATTGACACATTCATGTGTCGATCCGTGCCCTCAGCTCTCTTTCATTCCACAGGCTGCTCGTATTAAAATGTATTCCATGTAACTTTGCTAAACTCATTTCTTTCTTTTTCAACCTATACTTTCTCTGCCTTTCAGACTCACTCACATTTTAACTTTAATTCCATCTCAGCTTCTCTCCCTCTGAGCCACTTGTCACGTTCCCATCTCCCTTCTAATCTTATTTAAATACACCCCAACAGCATCTGTAAATTTCTGTTTGAGGATGTTGGTTCAGTTCCTAATCCGGATGTAATCCATCCTCCCTGTACAGCTCCTTCCTCCCCCAGAAACAATCCCAATGCCAGTGATTAGGGAAAACCAGTGAGTCTGACATCAGCGGTGGCTAAGTTGTTGGAGGAGATTCTGAAAGACAGGATCTACACGCATTTGGAAAGGCAAGGGCAGGTTAAGGATAGTCAGCATGGCTTTATGTGTGGGTAATTGTGTCTCTCTAACTAGATTGTTTTTAAAAAGGTGATCAAGAAGATTGATGAAGGCAGAACGGTAAACGTCGTCTACATGGACTTTAGCATGGCCTTCGTCGAAGCTCCGCATGGTAAATTGGTTACTAAGGTTAAATTACATAGTATCCAGGAAGAGCCAGCCAATTGGATACAAAACTGGCTTGATGATAGGAGACAGAAGGTAGTGGTAGAGGGTTTGAGACAACAAGGTGCAGAGCTGGATGAACACAGCAGGCCAAGCAGCATCGTAGCAGCAGGAAGGCTCCAAGCAGCATCGTAGGAGCAGGAAGGCTAATTGTTGTTCAGACTGGAGGCCTGTGACCAGTGGTGTGCTGCGAGGATCGATGCTGGGTCCACTGCTGTTCGTCATTTATATAAACAATTTGGATGTGTATATAGGAGGCTTAGTCAGTAAGTCTGCAATGACACCAAAATTGGTGGTATAGTGAACAGTGAAAGTTATCTAAGAACAATAGGATCTTAATCAACTGTGCCATTGGGCCAAGGAATTACAGATGGAAATTAATTCAGATAAATGTGAGGTGTTGCATTTTGGCAAGACAAACCAGGGCAGGACTTGCATAGTTAATGGTAGGGCCATGGGGAACGTTGTTGAATAGAGACCTAAGGATGCAGGTAATAGCTCCTTGAAAGTGGTGTCACAGGTAGACAGGGTGATGAAGGCAGCATTTGGTAAGTTTGCCTTCATTGGTTAGAGCATTGAGTGCAGCAGTTGTGACATCATGTTGCTGCTGTACATGACTTTAGTGAGGCCCCTTTTGGAGTACTACGTACAATTTGGGTCACCCCACTATAGGAAGGATATTATTAAACTGGGAAGGGTGCAAAAAACATGTATAAGGAGGATGCTGAGACTGGAGGCTTGAATTATCAGGAAAGGCTGGATAGTCTGGGACTTTTTCCCTCGACTGTAGGAGGCTGAGGGGTGACCTTATAGAGGTTTATAAAATCATGAGGGGACATGGATAGGTTGAATAGCTAAGGTCTTTTCCCCAGGGTAGGGGAGTCCAAAACTAGAGGGCGTAGGTTTAAGATAAGAGGGGAAAGATTTAAAAGGGACCTGATGGGCAACTTTTTCACACAGTGGGTGGTGAGTGTACGGAATGAGCTGCCAGAGAAAGTGGTGGAGGGGAGTACAATTACAACATTTAAAAGACATTTGGACAGGTATGTGGATAGGAAAGGTTTAGAGGGAAACAGGGTTAAACACAGGCAAATGGGACTAGTTCAGTTTAGGAAATGTAGTCAGTATGGATGACTTCATCTGTAGGACCTGTTTGTGTGCTGTATGCCTCTATGACTCCAAGACCAGGTCTCATACAGTCTGCTCTCTGGTTGCCTCCAGAACATGCTGTTCTAAGAAACTGTCCTGAAAACGTTCTATGAACTCATTATCTAAGCTACCTTTTGCCCACAAGTTTACCAGTTGTTGCATAGACTAAAACCTCCAATGATTATTACCATGCCTTTCTGACAAGCTGTCATTTCTTTTCTGCCCCACCCTCCCGCACTGTTACTGTTGAGGGGCCCGGACACCACTTCCACTAGTGACTTCTTGCCTTTATCATTTCTCATTTGTACGCAAACCGTTTACACATTTTGGTTTCCTAAACTTGGGTGGCCCCCTTTTGTTGTGTTCATATCATCATTAACTAAAAGAGCTGCCCCTGCTTTCCTTGTCTTAAATGTCCCATATCTTTTAAGATTCAGGTCCCAGTTCTTATCATCCTGCAGCCATGTCTCTGTAATTACTCCAAGACGTATTTATTCATTTCTCTTTGCAATCTCAGTTCATCTGTTTTGTTTCAACTGTTACATTTGTTCAGATACAGAGCCTTTAGTTTTATCCTTTCACTCTTTGTAAATTTTAGTCTTATCCTGTTACCTCACTCATCCTCTCTATCCCTTCCAGTCACTCTGTTTATCATCCCCCATATTAATACAATTCACCTTGGCCTTGGCTCTACTCAGGTTTCCCACATCTTCCCAAATTTGAACCCTTGTTCACCGCCGTTCATCTTAAAATCTTCTCCACTTCCCTTGTTACATGATTAGCAAGAACACCAGCTCCAGCACGGTTCAGGTGTAGACCATCTCAATGCAGATCCCATGTTCCGCAGGGCTAGTGCCTATGCTCCATGAACTACAGCCCATGTCTCCCACACTAGTCTTTCAGTCGTGTATTAATCTCTAATGATTTGCCCTTTGCCAGTTTGCATATGACTTCAGTAATAATGCAGCCTGAAATAACTCCACAGAGGCCGGTATCCCATCACCAAGTCACCTTTTATTTACACTTATACACAACATGGCACTGACCCAGCTAGCTCAGAGCCGGTTCCTAGAGTGAGCAGAACCCCTGACGCTCCTGTTTATATCTGTCAGCCAGGGCTCCCTGATTGGACCAGGTTAACAGCCCCAATCAAGGAACTCATACTCTATGAGATCCACCTGACTGACTTCATTACAATCATCACACATTCATTATGACCTTTGAGGTTCTGTTCCTTAATTTTGTACTTAGCACCTCACACTGACTATTTAGAACCTTCTTTCTTTTGTCTTATTGTTTGTACCTACAAGCGACCATGCCATTTGGATCCTCCCTCTCTGAGCAGATATTTCAAAGCCTGGCACCAGTCAGGCAATACAATGGTCAGGACTCTCACTGTTTGCTGCATAGGACACTATCAATCCTCATTATACTGTCCCCTACTACCACCACAATCCTCCTTATTGCCCTCACTTTAATGCCCGCTTATACCATGGTTAGTTAACTCAACCCTCACCCTCATGCAGACAAGCTAAAAGAGCCTTAAACCTGAAGGACAGTTGCAAAGGCTAAGGCTCTTGCCCTCGGGTGCCTGAACTGCCTCACTTGCTGTCATACTCTCCTACGCATAGAAACACTGACCAAACCAGCTGATCCAAACCTAAAACATGTAACTGCCTCCTGGTATAAAGAAGCCAGGCAATATACCCGCTCTCTAACACATCACTGTGTCTGTAGCTCAGCCTCCAGCTCAAAGTCCAAGCCATAGCTGCTCAAACTTCAAGCATTTGCTGCAATTGCATCTGCCCTGACCAAACTGGCATCCAGGAGCTCCCTCAATGCTGCAGTCATGATGCAAACAAACAAGGAATAACAGTAGGCCACTCAGCCCTTTCAGCCTATCCCACCATTAAGGAAGATCATGGCTGGTTGGATTTTTAACTTCAGTCTACATTCCCACATTACCTTCAATAATCTATCATCATCAAGAATTGATCTACTTTCACTCTATTGTAAGTCACTTTCAAGTGCTAAATTGCACTAAATTTGCTACCTATATATTCTCCTAACACAAAAAGTCTGACTTACTTAATGAGGACCCAGTTTCAGCTAGTTCTGGATGAAACTGTTCTTTCACTGGAACCCTTGAAAAAAAGTCTCGCTTGTAACTGGCAATTACAGAATTTAAACTGTGGAATTCAATTTAATATGAACTAAATTAGATTTGTACAAAATAATAATTTAAGTTTTGTTATACAACTGCTTGAACTCAGTCATTGTCGTGAGGAGTTCAAACCTCTTACACTTACTTCACCACACGCCTACCCTCTAATACACAGACACACTGACAACAGACGGTGAAAACATACAGCTTTATTGCAGAAAGTTAGAAAGGAATTTACAGTTATTGTCATCATTCTTAAAAAGATTTGTTTCATTTGCCAGGCCTGAAGCAAGATTATTTGCATTTCTGTTTGCTCTGTATTTAACTGCGAGCTTGTGCAGATCAGGGAGTCCACCCTGCCCTCAATTCGCTCTTTGTCCGTGTGTGTGGCAGATACTCAGCCTCTGAATATGCCATCAAGATGGCTCACTCTCTGGACCCTCACACACCTCTCACAGGTCTCGGAGGACATTGCCAGTGGGACGCTACAGTGCCTATTGGCTCAGGCAGTGATTGCTGGTTTCCATTGAGTCTCTGTGTGACGGGGAGTGAACAAGTGAGGGAGGGGCCTCTGCATACGGCCTCTCAGTCCAACAAGGGGGAACAGGCTATGTCCAGTGGGAAACTGGAGCCAACCAGTGACTAATGACAGACCAAAGCTAGTCCCATTGCATCACCTATTTATTGTGCAGGAGTGCCTGAGTGGGTGTAAATGCATGCAAACACATCTGTATTGCATCCACCTTGGTGTGTACCTGTGGTTGTGCATTTTGATGTGTAATGTGGAGGAATGCTGCCTCCCCGAGTTGCTGCTGAGGTTTTACTCTCTGCCTGCACCAAAGTGACGGGCTCTCACTGATTCTTGCTCTTTGCAAACAGATGGAGGAAGATTTCGTATGTTTGCATCATTGTCGGTGCATTATTTGCGATCATGAAGCTTGGTTCGTTTTGAGATTTCAAATCACCGGGTTACCTAGACAGAGGACAGAGCGAAGCTGTCACTGAACAGCGGGGATTCAGGCTACCTGGCCAGGAAGCTGACCAAACTGCTTCGAGGATCCAGAGCCCTCTGCCATAAAGGCCTCAATCTCCTCAACAGTGCGTGGCACACAGGTCAGCAGTTCCATTCCACTGGCAGTGACTGCAATATCGTCCTCGATACGCACCTGAAATTCAGTGAAAAACAAACATTGAGCTCCACATTCTAAAACAGGACATAGTCAAACATAGGCTCACTGATAGAATCTGCAATCAGTATGTGCAGAGAAAGATCTCACAGTGGGGGGGTGATAGCCTAGTGGTATTATCGCTAGAATATTAATCCAGAGACCCAGGTAAATTTTCTGGGGATCTGGGTTCAAATCCAACTGGGGCAGACGGTAGAATTTGAATTCAATAAAAACCTGAAATCAGGAGTCTAACGATGATCGTGAATCTATTGTCAATTGTCAGAAAAATCCATCTGGTTCACTAATGTCCTTTAGGGAAGGAAACTGTCATCCTGGCCTAGTCCAGACAGACAGCAATGTGTTTGCCTCTTAACTGCCTTCTGGGCCAAAGGGATGGGCAATAAATGCTGCCGGGCCAGTCACAGCCACATTCTGTGAATGTATGAAAAAAAGAGAGGTCGACAGAGACAGAAGAGGTGGTGGCAAGGGGAAGGACAAGTAAAGTTGTATACACCTCTGGTCTTCCTCCTGGCCCCATCCTCCCCAGATCATGCTCCCTGCACTAACTGGATCCACCACCTTCTCAAGGGCGATTAGTGGATGAGCAATAAATGCTTTCCCAGCCAACAATGCCCACGTCCTGTGAATGGATGTGAAGAGGTTGTTGTGATCTGGAATGACCTGTCTGAAAGGAAGCAACCTTGGCAACTATTTACAGAGGGGAACTGGATAAATGCTTGAGGGGGAAGAATTTTCTGGCGATAGGGAGTGGGAGCTAATGGATAGCATAGGCAGAAATGGGCAGAATAGCCTCCTACTGTGTAAGGCTGCAGGTCATGGCTAAGATGAGCAAGTGGTGGATGCAGGTACAGTTACAACATTTTACAGGCATTTGGACAGATACATGGATAGGAAGGGTTTAGAGGGACAGGGGCCAAACACATGCAAATTGGACAAGTTTAGTTTGATATGACTTTTTGACTCTACAAGTCTCCTTCCCCAGAATTAAAGCACTTCAGAGGATGGCTCAGGTCCGTAGGGGTTAATTCCATGGCTGCAATCAGTGGCTGACACAATTTGCTGCTGCTGTTAGTGGCTGGACCAGCTAGGTCCAAATTAATGTGTGATTTATTACACATCAAAACCTTCTCCAACATTATCTCAAAAAAAAGACCTTCCCTGCCTCAGATTTTATATCGTGGTATCTTATCAGCAGCTCTGTAACCACTCACAAAGAGTTCAATAAAGCTCCTATCTGATCAGGTGTAAATCCAACAGGCAGTAAAGTGGAGGTTACTCCCATGCGATGACTGCTGTAATTATAACCTGACCTCGCTCAGCAGACTGTGCAAAAATAGCCTGGGCACACCTCACCCCACTGACCTGCACAGAACCGACAAATTAGAGCATGTCCTTGAGATGCAGAATCACTCCACTCCCTTCAGCCTTTTAATATGATAACATTCTTTATTTTTACAAAGGGTGACATCATCAAACACTCCCACAGGGTGAGATTCAAAGTAAAGCTCCCTCTACCCTGTCTCCCACCCCAACCTCCAGCCGAGCCCCCACCAAACACTCCCACAGGGTGAGATTCAGAGTAAAGCTCTCTCTACCCTGTCTCCCACCCCACCATCCACCCGCCACCGCACCCCCCCCCTGCCCAACCCCCGACCACCTCCCCCCCCCCCATCAAACACTCCCAGGACAGGGACAGCACAGGGTTAGATAGAGTGTAAAGTTCCCTCTACACCGTCCCTATCAAACACACACTCAAGACAGGGATAGCACATGGTTAGGGAGTAACATTAGGGAGTACTCACCCCACCAAATCCTCGGAAGCGAGCGAGGACATCCCTGTTGATGAAACAAGCCTGGGCAGGGTCTGCTAGCGCCTGGTCCAGGAGCATGTCGATGAAGTAGATTCCTGGCTCAATGGTGAGGACCATGCCCTGGAGCAGTTCCCGTGTAGTGCGTAGACTGCGGAGCCCTGGCTCATCAATGCGCTCCACACCCTGGAACAAAATGGAGAGACTGTCACCCACACCGTGCAAATTCCTCCCAACCCCCACATTCCCCAATATAGACCCCTCCAATACCACTGCTTCCATTCAACCCCTTCCCACTGCCCCTCCCACTCTCCCTGGTATATCCCCTTGCCCCCCCCCCAGGCCCCCATTCCTGCCTCTACCCTCTCCAGGTCCACCTCATTCTACCCCCTCTCCTCCTTTACAAACTCACACGTCACGAAACCAAGCACTGGTTCCCTGGAAAATCTTCCAGTGCTAAACTGGAAATGCCAAAATGAATCCAATTCATCTAATTTATGGAAGTGGCAATGAACCAGCTGGAATTGAAGTTTAAAGACGAGTTTCAAAGCTGCTGATTATTAGTGATTTATGATTTACTGACACCAAGACCTTATAGTCACATGGGATGCACAGTGACTACATGTAAATGAGAGAGACATAGAGAGAGGTGGGGCAAGGGGGGAGGTGAGGGGAGGGCTTGGGGATTGCGAGAGAGGGGCGTAAGGAAGAGAGGGGGCGAGACAGCGGGGGGGGGCGAGAGAGCGAGGGGGGGGCGAGAGA